ATTAAGCCACGGGTGCCCAAACTTTAGCATACAACTGTATATTAAGACGTGTATGCCACATTGGTATGCTTAAAAAAGCCTTAAACTATATGCAGCCACATTCACCAGTAGCCATTGCTACTATTGGCTATACACTCCTTACCATCTTGTCTTGATTTGTATTGTAATGAGCTGTGCAAACTGTTGATGCGATATAAATCCTGTATAATAATAATAATAGGCAGACCACAGTATGTAGTAGTACGGTGAAGAGCAGATACCAATATCCACTCTTTGTTTTAAATTGAACCCTATGATTTCAGTAGTTCTGTAAAGGCATGCTTTGATATTTAATGACTGGGCTGTATATTTTCTATCCACTCTCTTGGGGAGATGTTGTAAATAGAAAATGTGGTGCTATTTGTTTCTGTATAAGGTGTGATCTGAGAGAAGTCAATTTTTCTGTCCTCACAGGTTCACTTTAACAATGGGGAACTTATAACAAGTGTTCTCACTGTGGAAAAATCTGTGTTGCAGTGACCATAATATATTTTTATTTAGCGTCAGTCCTTTGAACCATTTTTTTAGCAGTTTATTATCATGGGGAAAATCAAATGTTTTCTTGGCAAACTGTATAATAATACAATCTTTTTCCATCTCTATTTAGGATTGCTCCTTGTTGGAGCATATTGCATCTCACTTAATTCTGCTTTTCTCTGAATCAAATGCTTCAGAGGATGCAAGATCTTTCATTTATAATCTGTTTATTTCTCTCCCGTTCATTCAAGGACACAGGGAACAGATCGGAGATCGTGTACTGTAGTGTAATATCGCCACCTGCAGGAGAAGGACGCTAGGCACAAAACTAAAGACCAATTACAGCCTAGGGGCGGCCCCTGCCGGTGGCCAAAACCCCCTACCTGCTGACAAGTCCCCATTTTTTTTGCCTAGCGTCAGGAGTAAGGAGCTAAGAATTTTTTCTCGGGTATTCTTACCTGCTTCTTCCTGATTTTTTTCAGATCTTCTAGCAAGTGTTATCCGGGCGACAGGCTGGATGTCTTGGATCCTTGGAGTCTCCCCTGGATGACCAGCGAACGCATGCAGACCCGCTGCGGTGGGGCGGCTGCGGCGGCCCCGCTTTCTGTGGGCCCTGTATCTGCTAGTCCCCTTTGGCTTCCTGTCCTTCCGTCCCCCCTCCAACCCCCCCCCTCCCCCCTCGGGTCACCTTAACTGGGTCCCTTCTGGGGTGTTGTGGTCCTGTGGACCCTTACCTGGTTCCTGGTGAGTGCTGCTGTGCCTCTGTGGGGATGTTCTCCCGCGCTGCCTGGGGTCGAGCTGCGGCTTCTGTCCCGGGGTGAGGGGCCGTTGTCCGTGGGCTGCCGGCGCTCGGTTTTCGTGCGCGGGGACCGCTACTCGAGCCCCCGGCTTTGTTTGTGGCCTTCTTCTGAGGCCGCGGCCCCATGTTTGGTGTGGGCGCGTGCGCCCTCGTCCTGACGTCACTTCCGGTGCGCCGCTTCCGGGTCCCTTTACTTGCGCGTCACCCGGCCGGACACGGGGATAAGCGGCCCTGGCAGCCCAGGACCGCCAAGCCCCAGGGTAAGCCCCCCTCGGCATGAAGGCCTACCCCCATCCCGGGATTCCAGGGTGGGGGGACGTCTTCGGCTCTTTGCGGGCCGCTGGCTGTCCCACGTCTCCGACACATGGGTGCGGGAATTGGTGTCCTCGGGCTACAAAATATAGTTTCTGTCGCGTCCAGAGGACAGGTTCTTCCCGTCCAACATCCGTCTCCCTCCTCAGCGCTTGGCAGACCTTCATGGAGCGGTGGCGGGTCTTTTGTCTTAAGGGGTGGTGGTTCCGGTTCCCTCCTCGGAGAGGTTCAGAGGATTTTACTCAAACCTGTTTACGGTGCCAAAGAAGGATGGGGTGCGCCCCATCCTGGACCTCAAGCGGTTGAACGTCTTTGTGCGCGTTCGCCGGTTCCGGATGGAATCGATCCGCTCTGTGGTGGCGTGTCTTCACCAGGGGGATTTCATGGCCTCCCTAGACATCAAAGATGCCTACCTTCACGTTCCTGTTTGTACCTCCCACCAACGCTACCTTCGCTTTGCGGTGGGGGACGACCATTACCAGTTTGTCGCTCTGCCCTTCGGTCTGGCGTCGGCACCTCGGGTGTTCACCAAGGTGCTGGCCCCGATCTTGGCCCTGTTGCGTTGTCGGGGGATCTCGGTGGTGGGGTACCTGGACGACCTCCTGCTAAAGGCGGAGTCGCATTCCTCTCTGGTGGCGGATCTGGCGATCACCGTTCGGTCATTGGAGGAGTTCGGCTGGCTCCTGAACTTCCAGAAGTCTTGCCTGGTACCGACCACTCGGTTGGAGTATCTGGGGTTGATTCTAGACTCCACCTCGGCGTGGGTTTTTCTACCCCCCGGGAAACTTTTGAAGCTTCGCTCTCAGGCGGCGCTTCTGCGGACACGTCGATGGTAAACGATCTGCTCTTGCATGCAGGTCCTGGGCCTCATGGTGGCTTCCTTCGAGGCGGTGCCTTACGCTCAGCATCACACGCGGATTCTGCAGAGGTCCGTCTTGTCGCTGTGGGACAAGTCCCCCTTGTCGCTGGACCGGACGGTTCAGTTGCCTCGGGAGGCGAGGGCCTCCCTTGTCTGGTGGCTTCGGTCTCCATCCCTGGTGTTGGTCAAGTCCTTCCTTCCCATTCACTGGACGGTGGTCACCACGGATGCCAGCCTGTTGGGCTGGGGGTGCGCCCTGGACGGCTCAGGGCCGTTGGACGTCGGAGGAATCTCGGCTTTCGATCAACGTGCTGGAACTTCGGGCGATCCGTCTCTCCCTTCTTCACTGGACGGACCGTCTACAGGGACGGCCAGTCCGGGTTCAGTCAGACAACGTCACGGCCGTGGCTTACGTCAACCATCAGGGCGGCACACGAAGTGTGGCCGCGGCTCGGGAAGTGGAAAGAATCCTAGCTTGGGCGGAGGTGCATGTTCCGGCTCTCTCCGCCGTGTACATTCCGGGCGTGGACAATTGGCAGGCCGACTATCTCAGTCGCCAGTCAGTGGACCCGGGAGAATGGATGCTACATCCGGAGGTGTTTCACCAGCTCTGCCTTCGCTGGGGGTTCCCGGACGTGGATCTCCTGGCGTCTCGCCTCAATCGACGGGTGGCTCGGTTCGTGGCCAGGACCCAGGATCCTTGGGCGGATGCGGTGGACGCCCT